CTTTGAGCCTTTCTTTCCTAAGTTTCCTCTCTCCTTCCCAATCTCCTGTCAGATATCTGTCCCCACCAAGCTACTTTTTGAACTCCAAGTCTTTGGAAATCAGCTTTTTTGGGGGCTTATTTGCCACCAGAAACCTGTTTGGCAATGCTGTGAGGTGAAAGCCGGTGCTTTTGTGCTTCCCACTGCAGTTCATTCCTTGGAAAAAGCTGTACCACCAGTACCTGCTGAAGGAGGAGTCAGCTCTGTGCAGAGTGGAGCAGATCCTGCAGGATTTCTCCATCACAGAGGAGCAGGAAGGATGTGTCTTGGGGCTGGTCACGTGAGTCCAATTCACCTGGAGAGCCCCAGGCCTCCCTTGCTTTGGGGCTTCTCCCATCTTATCCCAGGAACTGCCAGGAGAGGGGTGGGCTTGTCTCCCAAAGGGACGGGAGGTGTGCAGGAAAATGAGGGAGGGGGAATTACTGTAGTGGCAAAAAAATCACTGGTGGGGTTCTGGAAAACGGGGAAAAAACTGTCGCTTTTCCTGCTCTGTCCTTGATAAAACCAAGGGCTTTGCTCAGATCTCTGTGCCCCAGAGGCCAATTTTATGTAGCAAATAAGTGTCGAATTAGGAGCAAGGTGGATCTGGCCTCTGGAATCATGGAATGCTCTGGGTTGGAAGGGGCCTTGAAGATCATCCAGTTCCAACCCAGGCACACCTTCCACTAGAAGGAGACCTGGAGAGAACCAGAAGGAACTTGCAGATGAAAGTATTTCAGACCTGGGAGTCACTTGCCTAAATGTCTCCTGGCACCGGAATGGGCTGGAAATCCAAGCTGCAGCCGGAGCAGCTGTGGGATAACAACCAGCCAGGCACAGGCAGAGCCGCTGCAGCCTCCCTGGGGTGCTCTGAGGGGAATGGCTGGGCTGGGGCCCCGGTTCTCCTGTGACTCCTGTCCTCCCGCACAGGTTGGTGTCGGCCACGCCCGTCAGGGGGAAGGTGGATCCCAGCGTGGTTCTCCGGTGCTTGGGGAGCCACCACCTCTTCTCCAAGGCCCAAGTGTGTGTGGCCAACAAGCTGGCACATCTGCAGAGCAACACAGGGGTGGGTTTCACATTTGTTAGGGCTTTAGTGAAGCTTTGTTTAAACCTCGAGGGCGTTCCTATATCTAAAGGCTCTCCCTCTGGGGTGTTATTTGAGACTGAGGAGGATTGTTTGCCGTGGAATTCCTGGGGGGTTCTGAGGGTCGAAGCAGTTCACCTGCTCCTAAAGGCTCCAAGTTTTCCTTGCCTTTCCCTGTGCCAGGCTGAGAAGATGTGGGCCACCATTGCAGTCATGGTGCTGTTCTCCGACAGCGTGGGCGACATCCAGAGCCTGCTGGAGTGTGTGAGGAGACCCTGCTCCAACCTGTCGGTGCTGGAGGTGACTGAGGTGCTCTACTGCATGGCCACACTCCTGTTTGCCATGAGGGACAGGAACATCCCCATCACCAACAGGTGAGGCCATCCTGTTCCGATTCCACGGGCAGGGACACCTCCCGCCATCCCGGCTGGCTCCAGCCCGCCCTTGGACACTTCCAGGGATGAGGAGCCCACGGCTCCTCTGGGCACCCTGGGCCAGGCCCTCCCCACCCTCCCAGCCAGCAATTCCTTCCCAATATCCAACCAAACTTCCCTCCTTCCTCCTGATGTGGCTTCCCCCTTGTGCCATCGCTCTGTGCCCCTCCCTGACACTGGATATTTCCTTCACTCCAAGTTCTGTGGGATCCTCCTCCCCGTGCTTTGGGATCCATCCTGTGCCTCTTGTTCACCTGGAAGTGCAGGTGAAACCCTTCAGGATCGCACTGAGGATAAAATGAGGATCAGGGACAAAGGTCAATTCTTCTGAGGAGAAAACTGGGAAATAACTGCTCCAGAAAAGGAATTTATAGCCAGGAATTCGCTTTGTTTTAATATTAATAATTAATTATCTAATTATCCATCGTCTCTCGCAGCTCCCTGAGCGCTCCAGGCTTTCCGCTGGAATTATCCGAGGCGGTGGTGGTGTTTCACGAGGTCTCCTTTGTTGTTTGTGGATTTCCAGTGGCAGTTTCTGTTTTTTCCTCTCTCCCAGGATCCATTACAACGTTTTCTACTGCTTGTACCTGATGGAGAATTCCTCTGTGACCGCTGAGAATGTGGAAGAGGACACGCTGGCCTCGCGCTGCAGGCGGGACTTGTGGTCCAGGTAACGCTTTTCCAGGGGATCCAGGGGGTCCTGAGGGAATGCTGGACACTCCAGGGAAAGGGGGCAGGTGGATATGGACTGGTGCAACTCCTTATCTTGCTCCTTTCCACCTCCATTGCCAGAGGAAAACCAGAATCTGGGACCTTAAACCTGGAAAAATCGGATTAAATGCACTGATGGGTCTGTCCTGGATTCATGGAATGGTTTGGGAGGGACACTATGGATAAACTGATTCCAAACCCCTGCCATAGGCGGGGACACCTCCCACTGTCCCAGGCTGCTCCAGCCTGCCCTTGGACACTTCCAGGGATCCAGGGGCAGCCACAGCTTCTCTGGGAAACCCATTCCAGCCCCTCCCCACCCTCCCAGCCAGCAATTCCTTCCCAATCTCCCATCTGTCCCTGCCCTCTGGCAGTGGGAAGCCATTCCCTGTGTCCTGTCCCTCCATCCCTTGTCCCCAGTCCCTCTCCAGCTCTCCTGGAGCCCCTTTAGGCCCTGCCAGGGGCTCTCAGGTCTCCCTGGACCCTCCTCTTCTCCAGAATGAACATTCCCAGCCCTCCCAGCCTGGCTCCACATCATGGATCAGCAGGACACAGTTCTGTGTGTTCACAGAGTCCAAACCACTCCCAAAATCCCCTCCCCAGTCACCCCTTTCCCTGGGGATGTGGAGCTCTGTCCAGCTCTGCTGGAATTTTAACACCGTGTTCCTGCAGAGACTCGAGGTTCAGGCAGCCCAGGCAGGGCTTGGCTTGTGCTGATGCTCCTGTAGCCCCCAAAAAATGTGGCTTTTCCTTTCTGAACTCCGGGAAAGAAACAAGGGAGCGGGATCGTGACTCCACTCTTGGTTTCTGGATCCTGCTGGAGAAGTGTTAACACCACCATTTTTTTATTTATTTGCTTGCTTGGATATGATTTATATCTTTATTATTTCTTTTTGTTATTTTTTTATGCTTATTTAGATTTGTGTTTATTTTCATTTTAGATATACAGTGTATAATTATAATTATATATAGTTTTTATATCTATGCATAGAGAGATTAAAAATTATTGATAAATATTAGCATTTTTTGCTACTTGCTGCCTAGAAAAGAAGGACAACAAGGAGTGAGACACTTCCCTGGCCTCTGGAGATCCAGGCTTGGTTCCCTTTCCGCTGCATTTACCCTGGATTGACTCATTTATTCCTTATCCTTTCCTATGGAATGGGAATGCAGTGATTCCATCCACAGCCAGCACAAAGCCGGTTTCCTCCTCAGTGGAGGATTTTATTTCTTTGAATTCCTTTTCCCTTGGTTTATTTTTGTGGTTTTTCCCGTTTTTTCCCAGCTGTCATGAGGTACAACTGACCCACGAGCAGCAGAGGATTCTGAACCACAGGATCCAGCCCGGGCAGATCGTGAAGATCATGGCGTTCGCAGGTGAGAGCCCGGAATGCCACGGGAAAACCACGGGAAAACCACGGGAAAACCACGGGAAGAGCCTCGGTGTGGTCTCCCCTGCAGGACCTCCTGCCCAGGGATGGCACATTCCAGGGATCCACTCTGGGTTAACGGATTGAAGGGGAAAGCCACCCAAAAATGGGAACAAAACAAGCAGGGAGAGGAGCGGGAATGTGTGGGAGAAGGGCCCTGCAGGGCAGGGAGGGGGGAAGAGGAGAGACTCCAGGTACTAGGGCAGGGATTCCGAGTATCCATGGAAAAAAGGGATCCACACTGGAGCAGCCTGTTCCTGAAGGACTGAGCCCTGGAAAAAGGGATCCATGCTGGAGCAGCCTGTTCCTGAAGGACTGACCCCCTGGAAAAAGGGATCCATGCTGGAGCAACCTGTTCCTGAAGGATTGACCCCCTGGAAAAAGGGATCCATGCTGTTCCTGAAAAAGGGACCTGTGGAAAAAGGGATCCATGCTGGAACAGCCTGTTCCTGAAGGATTGACCCCCTGGAAAAAAGGGATCCATGCTGGAGCAGCCTGTTCCTGAAGGACTGACCCTGTGGAAAAAGGGATCCATGCTGGAACAGCCTGTTCCTGAAGGACTGAGCCCATGGAAAAAAGAGGTCCACACTGGAACAGTTCCTGGAGGATTGACCCTGTGGAAAAAAGGGACCCACACTGGAGCCAATCTGTTTTCCCACCTAAACAATTCCATGATTCCCTGAAATCGGGAGTGAAGAGGGGAGGGATGAGGAGAAGGTGTTTTAGGCTTTAGCTTTTATTCCTCTTTTCTCTCTGCTGATTTAATCGCCAATAAATCAGATGAATTCCCTCAAGCTGAGCCCGTTTTGCCCGTGGTGGGAATTCCCGAGGGATCTCCCCCATCCTTATCTCAACCCACCAACCTTCCAATCTGTTTTCCCTCTTTTTTTAAGCTTTTAGGCTGCAGATTGGAATTTTTCTTAAAGCTGATTTTGCTCCATTAGGCACCAAACATTCCTGCCATGAGCTTGGGACTCCAGAATCCTCATCCTTGCCTTCCTCCCTTTCTCCAGGCACAGGGAAAACCTCGACCTTGGCCAAGTACGCGGAGAAATTCCTGGAGCTGAACTTCCTGTATGTGACCTTCAACAAGGCTGTGGCAGAGAAGGGGAGAAGGGTCTTTCCCAGGAATGTCACCTGCAAGACTTTCCACTCCCTGGCGTTTGGGAGCGTCGGGAAGCAGTGAGTAGGGATTTGGGGATTCCCTCGGGAACAGGAGCATTGGGAACAGTGAGTGGGGATTTGGGGATTCCCTCAGGAACAGGAGCATTGGGAACAGTGAGTAGGGATTTGGGGATTCCCTCAGGGAACAGGAGCAGCAGGAACAGTGAGTGGGGATTTGGGGATTCCCTCAGGGAACAGGAGCAGCAGGAACAGTGAGTAGGGATTTGGGGATTCCCTTGGGAACAGGAGCATCAGGAACAGTGAGTAGGGATTTGGGGATTCCCTCAGGGAACAGGAGCATTGGGAACAGTGAGTAGGGATTTGGGGATTCCCTCAGGGAACAGGAGCATTGGGAACAGTGAGTAGGGATTTGGGGATTCCCTCGGGAACAGGAGCATTGGGAACAGTGAGTAGGGATTTGGGGATTCCCTCGGGAACAGGAGCATTGGGAACAGTGAGTGGGGATTTGGGGATTCCCTCAGGGAACAGGAGCATTGGGAACAGTGAGTAGGGATTTGGGGATTCCCTCGGGAACAGGAGCATTGGGAACAGTGAGTGGGGATTTGGGGATTCCCTCAGGGAACAGCACAGCAGGAAAAGGGGGTTGGGATTAAAACTGCAGGATCTGAAGGGGGGGGAATTTTTTCGCCTGCTCCAAGCCAGGCTGAGATTTGGGATTTATGGGCATCCAACTGGATGCTCCAGGAGTTTTAGGATCCTTGGGAAAACCCTCATTTCCCTGTTTTGCCACAACGGGGCTGCCATAAAACCCCTTGGGTCGGGGTCGAGGGGCCAAGGGGCAGTTCCCAGGGAGATAAAAATCCCTTGGGAATGGCTTTTTCCACACTTCCCCATTCCCAAGGTGTTTAATTGCAAATAGGTGTTAATTCTAAAGGTATTCCGTGGCAAATGGGTGCAGATTTTAAAGATAATTCAGGTTTTAAGGATATTCCATTGCAAATAAGTGCAGGTTTTAAAGGTGTTTCATTAGAAATACTAGAAATAGGTGCAGATTTTAAAGCTATTCAAATTTTAAAGGCATTTCATTGCAAATATGTGCAGATTTTAAAGAGATTCAAACTTTAAAGGTATTTTGTTAGAAATAGGTGCAGATTTTCAAGATATTCAGATTTTAAAGATATTTCATTGCAAGTACGTACAGATTTTAAAGATATTCGGATTTTAAAGGTGTTTCATTCCAAATAGGTGCAGATTATAAAGACAGTCAGATTTTAAAGGTGTTTCATTCCAAATAGGTGCAGATTATAAAGATATTCAGATTTTAAAGGTATTCCATTGCAAATAGGTGCAGATTTTCAAGATAGTCAGATTTTAATATTATTTCATTGCAAATGCGAGCAGATTTTCAAGATACTCCTTTAGAATATGGGCAGATTTTCGAGGTACTCCATTAGAACGTGCAGATTTTTGAGACACTCCGCTAACCCAGGTGCAGATTTTGGAGGTGCTCTGTTGGGCCGAACAGGGTCACACGTGCTGGATTTTGGAGGGTTGGTGCTCTCCAGCAGCTTTCCCCGTGTTTTAACCCCCGTGTCTGTGTTCTCCCGTGTCTCTGGCGCAGCTACAAGGAGCGGGGCCGGCTGAGCTTCTCCAAGCTGTCGGTGTTCTGCGTGGCGTCCCTGCTGCGCACTCGCCTGGGCCAGGCCCTCTTCGTCAGGGCCAAGACGGTGTCGCAGACCCTGGAGAGCTTCTTCGCCTCCTCGGACGAGGAGATCTGCGAGGAGCACACGCCCGTCTGGTTCAGGAGCACCCACGGGGACATGAGGCTCGTCAGCCCTGAGGAAAAGCGGGTGAGGGGTCGGGACTGGGATTGGGATCGGGATCGGGATTGGGATTGGGATTGAGATTGGGGCTGGGGTTTGGGGAGGGGGGGGCTGCAGGCGTGGCTTCTGTTGGAAGCTTCCAGAAGTTTCCCCCGTGCCGTGGAGCTGATTCCTGCTGCTCCAGCATGGCATTCCTGCTGCTGGCCAAGGGCTGAGCCGGTCAGGAATGGCAGTAACACGTCTGGGATAACGGATTTAGGGACACAGGGTTGAGGGGCAGAAGGAATTGCAGCCAGGGGAGAGCGGAGTGGGAAGGTGGGGGCATCCATCCAGGGACACCCCACTGCGGGGATGGAGCCTCTGGAAGTGTCCGAGGCCTGGTTGGAGAAGCCTTGGAGCGACCTGGGATAGCGGAAGGTGTCCCTGGGGTTGGATCAGGCCGGGCTTTAAGGTCCCTTCCAACCTAAATCACTCCATAATTCCATGATCCCCCCATCTCTCCCAGCTGGGGGGTGTTTGGCCTTCACCTTTAGGAATTAACTATCCAAGTATTTTTTCCCACTGGTGACAAACCCGAAGGAAATGGGGCCTGTTCTCCCTGTTTGTGGAGCTGGTCTGAGGGAGGATTTTACCCCTGGCTCTGCCCAGGGCAGCTGTTTCTTCCCTTTATATTAGATTTATATTTTATTCATATTTTATTTATATTATATTTACATTAGATTTATAGTCTACTTATAGTCTATTTGTAGTCTGTTTGTCTTTTGATAATAATATTATATCAAGATTTTATAAGCACCCAAATAAATATACTATATCATTAATAAATACAAGATAACAAAACATTAACATTATACCAGGTAATTTTAGATCAAAAACCCCAAAAAGGCTTCAGGGACAATCTGTGCTTGGAATATTTGTCTGCTCAGAGCAATTTATCCAAGTTATCCTGGTGTTTTTTCCCCTCTGCAGATCATCGTGCAAGAGGCCAAAGAAATATGGCACAACATGAAAAAGCTGGATGGAGACGTGGAGAGGAGATACAGGATGACTTGTGATGGTAAAAGAGGATAAAAATGTCAATTCTTGTGTTATAAAAATAGAATAGAGAGCTGTGGTGGGAAAAAAAGGGGATTTGTGTTTCCTACTTCCTGATTTTTCATCCATCCAATTTTATAAAATGAACGAGTTTGGACAAATATGTGGAGAATTTAAAGATATTCCATCACAAAAAGGTGCAGATTGGACAGATATTCTGTGTTTAGGTCTGGGAATCAGCTGGAAGCTGCTCCTATCGTGTCCTTTCCTCCAGTGCCTCGGGATGTGGGCAGATAGCTCCAGAAAAAACTGGGAAAAAACACCTTCTGGGCATTTTCTGTGGCACGACCTTCCCGTGGGATGGGCAAGGGACACGGAGCAATGTCTGGGAGCAGCAGGGACTTGGGCAGCCTTGCAGGGGTCCTGGGAATTCCAGGCCAGAAATAGAGCTAGAAACATTCAGGAAAAAAAAATGGAATAAAAGGATATGTTTGAAGGGCCAGAAACATGAAAAAAACAAACAAAACAAACCACCAAAAACCCAAGGCAGAAAGGGGTTTACCTCAAGGCTCGGGGGGGTCGTGCTGATGGAATTCCCCTCTGCCCCCACCCCTGCCCTTCCCCTCAGGGTACCTGAAGCTGTGGCAGCTCAGCAAGCCCCAGCTCTCGGGATACGACGCCATCTTCGTGGACGAGGCCCAGGATTGCACTCCAGGTGGGTGGAGCTTCGGCATTCCCGGGGGATTTTCCCCGTACCTGACTTAGGCCGGGTGTGACGCTGGGCCCAGCCCTCGGGCTGGGTCTGTGGGTGACGGTGACGCCGCTCTCCCGCAGCCATCGTGGACGTGGTGCTGTCACAGCCGTGCGGGCTCATCCTGGTGGGGGATCCCCACCAGCAGATCTACACCTTCCGCGGCGCCGTCAACACCCTGCAGGACGTGCCACACACACACGTCTACTACCTGACAC